AGAAAAATAAACTCAATAAAATGGCTATGGTAAATTTTTTTGGAAATAATTAATTTAAAAAATGTATTTTTAAATTTTTTTAGCAAAACATTTAAATAATTTKAAATATGGAATAATTCAATAATTGTAGTTATTATCCTTGTGAGTTATCACAAAACCAGAATTTCGATATCTCTATTGTTTCGGGAGATATCGCAATGTGTAAATCCTTGCGGGACACTGTGTATAATGGACATTAATGGTAAACAGAAAACTGGTACGATTTTTATAAATACTGGTACGATCTAAAATAATAATCAGGATTTCCCAAAAATGTATGGAGAAATAAAATAATAAAATATGAACAATTATTTTTATTTTACCGCCGATCAATGGAAAACTATGAATGACTGCGAGTGAAATTAGTCACTATCTTAACCCGTTTTGAATCAGATATTCACAATTCCTTTAAGTTAAGTTAAGTTCAAATATTTAAAAATAAAATAAAATACTCTACAAGACAAACTACACAACGAATGTGATGAGAATGAGGTATTTAAATAAAGAAATTAAAACAGAACATTTTTTAATAATTTAGCAAAGTGAGAAACGTGAGAAATAGATATTATTGATSATAAATTGTAGGTATATTTTATATTTATTTTAAATACTCGCTACTTTGTATGTACTTATTTGTAATTTCTGTTTCTTGTTCATTTTTATCGTATCATTATATTTTTGTTTTTAACATATTGCTCAAATTTAACTTGTTGGCGAATTGACGATGATGGTTTAATATCAAAACTATATAATATTTTAAATATTTTAGGACCCCTGCGAATTAATTTCTTATGAGTACCAGTATTCCGCGTTTTTTATTTCTTTTGATATAAATTCTATGGATCATATACCAATATTCCGACAATTCTAAATTATAATAGCCACTTGTAAAWTGTAGATACAATGTGTAGAAGATGCTTAAAAAGTTGTTTCTAGTTTTTGTCGTTTTTCCTAGTTATTAAAAAAGAACTTTTAATTTTCAATTTCACTCTTCAAAAGTAAGTATACTGTATCTTGGTCCAATTTACAATCATAAGTCATCATCCCCAATTTAGAAGGTCGAAGCATTTTTCCTACGATAAAATGCCGTCKACCTATACTCATGAAACACATATATAATTGTTAAATTACAATACGAATTGATCACTACGATCGCAATTTAAAGCCCCACCGCTTGCATCCTCCACTATTTRACCGGCACAGTAAATACACCTGCACAATATGGCTGAATCATATATMRTAACGGAACAAAACAACCCACCAAATCGAAAAAGTCATTATGGAGGTCTTATAGTTTATACTAGATTATTAGCAAAATCGAGTATGCGGCAGTGATGGAAACAAGACTAGGTATACGCAAATTTGAAAACTTCGACGAGGAATCAACCATCACTGGGGATTTGGAGAGAAGTCTTTATTATAATTTGCAACGCAGTTCGCAGACAACAACTCAACGGTTGAAGGGTCATTCAACTGCGCAGGAAGATGATGAGTCTGAAACACTGAAACTGAACCAGTTGAGGTGATTCTTGATGACGTGGTTGCAGCGGTGACGGAGCAGGCCACAGTAGATGAGTTATAGCGAAGTGGTGAGGCGTGTTAGAAGTTACAACGACCTGGGGAACGGAGGTCAGGAACTATTTTACAGACTTGGTCGGCTAGCTGGACCCTGTGGTTACTCCTGCGATACGCGCGTACACGACAAGAATCGTTTCCACCGCGTAGAAAGACGTTACAAAAGCTGTACGCATATATTATGTTGTTCTCCCACAAAGCGTCCGAGAGTCTCTAGCTGACCAAGTACAGAGGACAAGGCTATGTGACTTCGGATCAAGCACTTAGGATCAAGGTATGCGATATTGCACTTTTGAGTTGATTAACGGTAAGTCACCAATGCACGTCTCCAGCCACCAGCGATGACTGCGGTTTTAGAAACGATTGTAAAAAATTATTATACAAATTATTATAATATTAGAAACGGTATGCGGCACGTCAAGTTCAATATGATAAGCGCAATCACTTTTACCTGAATGAAATAGACAACAATAACTCTGAAGTCTAATTATTAGGGGTAACTCCCTCCCCAACTACCCCAAGTCCCTCTATAGATACGCCGATTTAGTAGATAAAAAAATTCAAATATTTTAACAGATACGCTAGCAAGAATGTTACTCTAAAAATAAGCACTCATGACAACAATGAAATAAATCGACTATTTTAGTTTTCACCTTAAAACATAATATAGATGTATAAAATACATACGTTATTTGGAGCTGCCTTCACCAGCAGAATCTACTGTACCTACTTAAAAATCGTTTTCATGATATTGTTCGGCAATTATTGTTTTATTCTGGTTGACGAATTATGTTAAATTATCATAATCTGAGTTATACAATTTATTTATTATTTTGATAAATTATTATTCTAGATTCCCGTAGCAATTTCCGATTAGAGACCTTGCAGTTAATGTATCCCTTGGGCTATAGGTAGGTATTTATAATCTATGTATAATTTTATTAATTTTACAAGGCGAACCATCCACCGTGACTTATTGTCTATCCTACCCCTTCGAAAATGCATTRTAGGGTGTGTTGCTCGCGTGCCGATTTCTCAGAAATGGCTTTTTCACCCACAGCGCTCCCCACGGCGGTGCGAAACTCCTCCTGCCACCGGCAATGCATTTTCATCACGATGGACAATAGTCCGTATAGTCGGCGCCGGCGTGGGTGTCGTTTACAAGGGCGAGGCCGTCACCCGCGGTCGTATTTGATATCAATCTTATTATTGTACCACGTAAAACGTAGACCGCCAAAATCATTTTCCTCGACCGTTTTGTATTTTTATATTTTTTTAGAATTCTAACGACACGATTTCCGAACAAACTCTTGACGACTTTACAGAATTCAATATCTATTTTTATCGTGAAGTCCGTTTTTTCTCGATACGACGGCAGCGCATACTCATCTGTCACAAATAAAAATCCGCGTACATGTGCAGTATTTTACGCCCTATTTAGTCGCCATGTGCCGCGACGTGCCTGATCACCAAAATTGTCACAATAACACTTCTGCGTAACATAATAACACAACGTACCGTGGTTCTTGAAGTGATATTAATATATACCGCATACGCGTAAATTGGATTACCGCATTTATACGCGGCGTTTTTTCATAGTTTATCGCGCGTAATAACACAATATAATAATAAATATAAATTGTAATTATTGTAAGAAGTGCCTTCATTATATGACAAACGCGTATTAGGTGCCTATATTTTCATTATTATAATATAATATCTCTCGCAACCGGACCGCAACAGTCCTGCAACGATCGATGGACATCAAGGGTAAGGTCGCCATGGTTACAGGCGGGGCCGCCGGCATTGGTCGCGCATACTGCGAGGAGCTGCTGAAAAATGGAGCCAAAGTAAGATTTTGTTTAATTGTATAATAATAATAATTGTTATTATTTTGTACTGCAATAATTAGTGTCCCAGTAATGCAAAATATGTCGTAGCTCTTTTTCGAACACTAAGTTCCGCCTAAAACTTAATGATATAGTATAGACGTTCCTAAATATTATAGGATCTATCATGCTCAAAGATGACTATTGAGAAAAACTTTTGAAYACATACAGTTCATGTACCCACTTTTTTATTGAAATATATTTTTGGTAGGAACTAACGATAGAATAGATTTTTTTTAAATATTTTTACTATTTTTGGTTTTATTTTATTGAATTATTGAATTCAAGACTTCACACCRATCACTCCCTTTTCCTCGGACTACTATAATCTTGATTAATTTTTTTCTTTATTTGAAATATACAATCTACTCGTATACCTAAGAGRCACAATAAGTACATATGGTAGAGAAAAAAGTTACATATATATATAATATATATTATACATTAATACATTAAATAAATTCAATAAAAATTATTTAAAATATTTAAAAATAAAATGCAAAAAACTTTTTTAAATAGTAGAAAATGTTTGTCAGGTTTTCATGGTAATCATTGTATTAATATATTAATTTGTGGAGATAAAACAAAAAAATTTCGACATTATACTATTACCTCAAATTATGGATACCAAATTTATTGCTTAAAAATATATTCATTAAATACGCAAGTCGCATATAGGTACTTAAAATGCTACAAAATCAGATTTTTTTTAACTATATCTGAAAAAATGGGATGAACATAAATTTGGCGAACAGCTCTTTWGTCTTTATTATAGCTAGGTTGTAATATATATGTTATTAGTGTTATTACATATTTTTTACATGTGGTGTATTATCCACATAATCCTTTACTCATATAATTTAACCTTTTTAACGGTTACGAATGAAAAAAAGCTGGTAAGTAAGTGGATGTCGCTCTTCAATACAGTAGGTTAGGTTAGGTTAGCAGGGTTACTGTAATGGATGGTATTAAATTTGAATTCAATGATGTAATATCATTGTATACGAATAATGATTCTGAGTGGAGACGATTTATCATTATTCTAGGATATGTTATACTCTATATTAGTTATATTGTTATAATTTCAAAAAAAAAAACGTCCGTAATTATTTAATATTATAAAATCGTGAAATCGTACTTTTTTTTCTTTTAACCGCTTTTATTTCGAGTAACGTTTCGAAAATCTAAAAATGGCCTCTTTAAAGTATCAGTTCAAGAACATTACTGAACTATTGAAACTAGGTGAATGAAAATTTGCTATTTCGTACGTGTGTAAGACGGAGACAACAAATACTCCGCGGTAACGATCTCTTGAGTTTTTTATTCTAATTTCACCCTTGGATTACTCTATCTGGATTGTAAATGATTTATGTGTTATTCGCACAGTGCCTATTATGATATTAAACTTATTTATATAATCAGAATCTATATTTAAAAAAAAATTTACTCTAGGTACGTTTTGGTACTAAACGATTGAATATAATCACTTTTCCTGTTATTGTAATACGTATTTGTTACAACACGACTCGATGCTTTAAATTCCTYTCTATACTACTCGTGTGGATTTGAGTCTTAACTCTTGGATACACTTATGATCACTGCAGCTTCCATTAATTATCACCTGATGATAAAAAAGCTCTGAGCTGAAATAAAGCTCTGTCTCAACTATTAAACTATATGTATATCTTCGTGGGGAAGAGTTCAGAACCCAGTGGCCAATACTGTATAAATAATTTACATCCGTGAGTGGTGACATATTTAGGGGAGGGGGGGCAGGAGCGGCTTGGGCTCCTGGTGGTTAATTTTTAGAGGTGTTAAATTTTGAATAGCATTTTGATTTAATACGGTATACCTAGGTCATTTAGGTAATAAAAAAAAGTTATAACATTCAGATACTTATAAACTATCATGTTTTTTTTTTACAAATACACATATTGCTATAGACATTTTTTTTCTTACCTGGGGCGCAAAATTCCTAAATACATCAGTCATCAGTGAGTAAGCATATACCTATATGCCTATTTAATATATATATATATTGTATATACATGGACAATATTATGTTATACTTATATATTCTATACTAATTATGGTGTAATATCACATTTATCTATTATGTTGACATGTTCCTTTTAATAATATTATAGGTTATAATATGGTATCTTGACTTTGATACAATGATAATTTATGTATTTAAGTAAGTGTTGAATTTATAGTATATATACATATGTATTACAGGTATCCATATGTGACATCAACGAAGATGTCGGTATCAAATTGGCTGACCTATTAGGCGCAAAGTTTGGAAACGTCAAAGTGATATTTTGTCCGTGCGACGTCACCGATTATCCACAGTTTCAAGGTAAAATGTAAAACCCTAAAATAATTGAACACTGAACAAAAATAAGTAGGTATAGGTAATAAGCAATAGGCATACCTACATTTAAATGTAGTATCACGGTGACTGCGCTGACGTTGAAGATATCTAATCTAAATGTTAAAATCGTGTATAATTAATAAAGTTGTATGTATATAATGTATAATATAATAGGCAAATACTCTTATTGCTTAAGTAAACTTAGGTATAGTTATAATTATAAAGCCCCGAAATTAAAATTCTTTCTATTATATGAGATATGATATGATATTATATAAGTATATTGTTTATATATTTTTATTTTGTMATTTTGTAAGGTTTGGCTTCTTGGTCTTCTAGAAGGATAATATCTTGGAGATAGAAGTCTAAGTTCATAATATGTTTTTTCTCAAATTTTGCAATGGTTGTATTCGATTTTATTCAGTTTACGTAGCGGTTCTGAAATTAATTTGTTAACAGTGTTGGTACCCTATGTAGATAGAAATATAGAGTATTACTGAGTGTAATATTAAAAGCCTTTAATACTATTTCCATTGAATTTATTATGAAGAGTATGTAATATGTTTACATATATTGAATTGGCCATATTAGTATTACTATAGTTTTGATATAAGTGCTCGATGCCAAACTTTATCGAAGACCTGTAATATATTGAGGATTGAGGAAGGCTCTCGTTATTTATCTTTAACCTTACCTAGTAATGTTGGTATATTGTAATACAGTTTTAAATCTAATTTTAAGTCTGATATATATATTTGGTTATTTTCAGATGCATTCCGAAAGACTATAGCTGCTTTTGGTGGACTTGACATAGTGGTTAACAATGCGGGTGTATTCAACGACCGATTCTGGGAATTCGAAGTGGATGTGAACTTGGTAATATGGTACACCTTAATATATTTTTTAATATTATTATTATACATAATAAATATATTTTAGATTAATTTAAAAATTGTTTCATTTATGTTGATTATTTGAAGAGAAAAATCCTTAAAATATGTTTTAAAAAAATTTTGAAGCACATAAAAAGGAATGAATATAATATTTACGATCTAGAAAATCATATCATTGATATTATAAATATTCAAAATGTATGCACCCTCGAACAAACCCTTACTGAAATATTGACTATATTTACAATCTATATTCTACAGGACAATGGGTGAAAATTTAAAGCTATACACTTAAGCAGTCACGCACGTATTTTGGTTCGACGACCACCACGCCCTATTATATTTTCCGCGTTATTGTCAAAATTACAACAGTCTTAAATAAATAACTGTTATTAATTATTTTTAACATTTAAAATCGGCATCGTGCCATCGTATTATTTCAAATAAAACATTTTCCCTCGCATTTGAGGACATAACAGTATAACATTTGACGTTTGATTGCAACAAATCGAAAGTACCAACTATAATAAATATGTACCTACATAATTAAGCTCCCAGAAAACATGCCAATAGTTARTACCTTCTGTGTTATAATAAGTTACCTACTAAAAATATCAGCATACCTGATATTATAACAGGGACAGGTAACTGATAGTCCATATACCCTTTTAATTTATCCCACTCTGTGCCTATTTGTAATATTAAGAATTTTTATAAGAAAATGATCAAAAAATAGTTGATTCGAATGACTATCCTATAATAATGACCTTTTACTTATGATTAGGGCTCGGATTTCAAAGCATAATAAATAACAAAAAAAGTGCAAAATTGTTGTAAGAAAGCAAAAATGAATTATATTTATTTTWAAAAAAAGCATGACTAAAAATTAAAATTAATTAGTTATAATTTTATAAAACTGAATAAAAAAAATTGAAAATTAATTTAAGTTAAAAAAACAATTTACTACCATGTATTTAGCAAGGTTTTCAGTAGTGAAACTGACTCTATTGCCCGATAGGATGTTTTTATACATATAGAGAACGAACGTTCTACTTCCACTGAAGTGATCGATGTATAGATACTTCATGCAAGAGGTTTCGTTTATATCAAACCAAACTCATGATAATTAATTTCGTTTGATGAAACGCCACATATAGTATAGTATTTATGTTCAGTAATTGTTCCCAGCCTTTGTTTTTCAAAACAACACGATAWAATTTACCCGAAATTGCAGTTGCAATATCTCCATTGGATATAAATATAATAATAAATTATTTTTGCAGGTTTTCACATTTCTTATTAATTAAATAAAAATTTTATTTTTATTATTATAGCATAAGAACATATACAAATTACACAGCTAGAAAAACTGAAAAAGCTATAAAAAAGCATTTAATAAATAAATTCGTTTATTTATAATCAGAATGAAGTGTATTTTATTGTTTATT